AAATACACATTTCATGGAAGTGTCGTCTCCGTCTTGTTATAGCATATATTGCAGCAATTAGAGGTGGGCTAGAAAGTGCATGCTGTACCAATTTGAACAGTCTTCTTTCTAGCATTATTGAATTAAAACATTTATATAAATATTTAAAATATCCTTTTAAAAATGAACATTGTAATCTTTAATTGAATTAATATCCCTGCAAATGAAGCAAATAATCCTTAATTGATTGGATCATTTACTTCTATCAGCTCATTTTTGTCTTCAAACATGCACTAGCTTGTAATAAATAATGTAATCTTCTTTCATTAGCAATTACTGTCTAGTTGCCTATTTTCTTAGATAATCTAATTAATTTAATGATCGAAAGGTAACTTTCCTTCTTGTGCATTATACAATGCTCGTTTAAAAATCAAATTTTTATGTTTGACATTTTTGGAGAGACAATGACTATGTTTATATACAGAAGAGAAACAAAGCATAAGAGAGGATAATAAACAAAGGAAACAGCCATTAAAGGCAGGTTTTCTGCAAGCTATGAGATGTCTTCAACTTTCACTGACATCAATGGGAGATGAAAGCATACAAGCCCATTTCTTCCAAAGGTGATATTAATTAAAAAATTCATTTCCTGTATTGTTGTTAACAATCTTAGATTACTGAAACAAACAAACAAACAAAAATAAAATCTAATTTATGCTTTATTATGTATAGTGACTTTTTGCATTTCTCTGAGCCATGGCAATGAGAACAATCTGTTTCCATTGTGTTTCTTGTCAGTTTTTAGTGAATTTTGCTTTCAGATTCATATGCATTGCTATTATAAATAAATAAACTTGTAGTATATTAGGGCTGTCGATTAATCACAGTTAACGCACGCGATTAACTCAAAAAAATTAATCACGATTAAAAAAATTAATTGTGATTAATCACAGTTTTAATTGCACTGTTAAATACTAGAATACTAAGTGAAATGTTTTTAATATTTTGGATGTTTTTCTACATTTTCATATATATTGTTGTAACGGTGCTGGCTAGGAGAAGCAAGCCAGGCCCCTGTTAGCCCTGTTCCAGAGGAAGAAGGGTATTAATTGGATTGGCTGAAGGGCCACGCCCTAATTACCAGAGTGGATCCACCTGCAGGCCTGGGTAGCCAGCCTGCCCTATAAAGCTGGCTAAGAGACAGGAAGCAGGGGGAGACAGGAAAGGGAGGAGTGTGGGCTCTAGATCCCTACTGGCTGGGAACCTAGTAGTCTCCAGGAGTGTTGGTTTCTGTAAATACTTGTAAATAGTAGGTGGTGGGAAGGACACAAAAAATAAAAGGACACGGGTGCTGCACTTCAGTTGGTCTCTGACTGCGTTTGTGGAGAGGCCGGGAGCAGGAACTGCTACAATTGTATTCTGTGTTGTAACTGAAATCAAAGTGTATATTATTTTTGCTTACAAATATTTGCACTGTAAAAATGATAAACAAAAGAAATAGTATTTTTCAATTCACCTCATACAAGTTGTGATAAATAAAGTGGGGGGATAGCTCCCTTTGATGGACACCCATCCAGCCAGTTTGCTGTCGGTAGCTGTTCTTTACTTGGTTTACCTATAAAGGGTTAAAAGTCTCCCAGGTAAAGAAAAAAAAAAAGTGGGCATCTGACCAAAAGAGCCAATGGGAAGGCTAAAACTTTTTAAAATAGGGAAAGAAACTTTCCCTTTGTCTGTTGTTCTCTGGGCTGCAGGGTCAGGGCAGCAATGCTGTAAGCAGCTTAAGACAGGTATGATCATAAATCATCACATCAGGCCTAGAACTACTTATCTGAACTCCAAATGTGTAAGTAGATCAGAATGTTTAGCTAGACGTGATCAGGTTTATTTTATTTTGGCTTGTGGGTCTCCTCTGTGCTAACCCCAGATGCTTTTGTTTGCTTGTAACTTTTAAGCTGAACCCCCAAGAAAGCTGCTTTGGGTGCTTAAATTTTGTAATTGTTTCTTTTAAGATCTAGCAAAAAGCCTAAGTTCCAGATGTATTTTTTCTCTTTTTGTTTTTAATAAAATTTACCTTTTTTAAGAACAGGATTGGATTTTTAGTGTCCTAAGAGGTTTGTGCATGTTGTTTGATTAGCTGATAGCCACAACTAATTTCCTTTGTTTTCTTTCTCAGCTTTTCCCGTGTGTGTGTGTGTGTGTGTGTGTGTGTGTGTGTGTGTGTAAGGGCTTGAGGGTACCCCACAGGGAGGAATTCCCAAGTGATCCTTCCTGGGTTCAAAGGGGTTTTTTTTTTTGCATTTGGTGGTGGCAGCATTTATCAAGCCAAGGTCAGAAAAAAACTGTAACCCTGGGAATGTAATACAAGCCTGGAGTAGCAAGTATTAATTTTTAAAATCCTTGCGGGCCCCCACTTCTGCACTCGGAGTGACAGAGTGGGGATTCAGCCTTGACAAAAGTACTGTAGTGTAATCTTTGTCGTGAAAGTGCAACTTACAAATGTAGATTTTTTTTTTGTTACATGACTATACTCAAAAACAAAACAACGTAAAACTTCAAAGCCTAAAGTCCTCTCAGTCCTACTTCTTGTTCAGCCAATTGCTAAGACAAGGAAGTTTCTTTACCTTTACAGGAGATAATGCTGCCCTCTTCTTATTTACAGTGTCACCAGAAAGTGAGAACAGGCATTTGCATGGCACTTTTGTAGCCGGGATTGCAAGGTATTTACGTGCCAGATATGCTAAAGATTCGTATGCCTCTTCATGCTTTGGCCACCATTCCAGAGGACATGCTTCCATGCTGATGACGCTCATTAAAAAAATAAGCGTTAATTAAATTTCTGACTGAACTCCTTGGGGAAGGATTGTATGTCCCCTGCTCTGTTTTGCCCACATTTCTGCCATATAGTTCATATTATAGCAGTCTCGGATGATGACCCAGCCCATGTTGTTTATTTTAAGAACATTTTCACTGCAGATCTGACAAAACACAAAGAAGGTATCAATGTGAGATTTCCAAAGATAGCTACAGCACTCGACCCAAGGTTTAAGAATCTGAAGTGCCTTCCAAAATCTGAGAGAGATGAAGTGTGGAGCTTGCTTTCAGAAGTCTTAAAACAGCAACACTCCGATGCCGAACCACCAAAAAAGAAAATCAACATTCTGCTGGTGGCATCTGATTCAGATAATGAAAATGAACATGCGTCGGTCCGCACTGCTTTGGATTGTTATCGAGCAGAACCCATCATCAGCATGGACACATGTCCCTAGAATGGTGGCTGAAGACTGAAGGGACATATGAATCTTTAGTGCATCTGGCACAAAAATATCTTGTGACGCTGGCTACAACAGTGCCATGAGAACGCCTATTCTTAGTTTCAGGTGACATTGTAAACAAGAAGCGGGCAGCACGATCTCCTGCAAATGTAAACAAATTTGTTTGTCTGAGTGATTGGCTGAACAAGAAGTGAGATTTGCAGGCTCTAAAATTTTACATTGTTTTAATTTTGAATGCAGGTTTTTTTTGTACATAATTCTACATTTGTAAGTTCAACTTTCATGATAAAGAGATTGCATTACTGTACTTGTATTAGGTGAATTGAAAAATACTACTTCTTTTTTTTTACAGTGCAAATACTTGTAATACAAAATAAATATAAAGTGAGCACTGTACACTTTGTATCCTGTGTTATAATTGAAATCAATGTATTGGAAAATTTAGAAAACATCCAAAACTATTGAAATAGTTGGTATTCTATTATTGTTTAACAGTGTGATCAATCACGATTAATTTTTTAATCGCTTGGCAGCCGTAATGTATATATAAAAATACACACAGATAAGTTGCATCAAAACTTATTTTTAACCTAAATTTTGGGCCTGATTTAACAAGATAACAATAATTATTATTATTAGCATTATTTTTACTTCTATAGTGCCATATGTCTCTAAGTGCCTTATGTTTGAAGAACTATTATCCCAGTTTTACAGATGAAGAAACGGAGGCGCAGAAGGTTAAGAGACTTGTCCAAGGTCACACAGTAAATGGCAGTTTAAAACAGAACACAGGCAGCTTTTCTTCAAATTCCCTACTCTAACCATTAGATCCTTCTGTTTCCTTGGTTATATAACCATCCACATAGCATTCCAAGTTCTTGCTCCCACAACAACTTGTGACTTTCGCTTCCACTTTGTCCCACATTTGGACCTCAGCAGCCTAAGACTTATGGTTTAGAGGCACATCGTGAAAACCAGTTAGTGATCATCTGAATCAAATGAACAGTATGACAACCTTTTGGCAATGTAAATCTTTTTTTAGGCAGTTACAAACAGAATATGACAAATGTAAAAGAGTTTTATCTGCTAAAGAAATGTCCCGTTAAATTATATTTTTCTAAAGCACAGAGTTTGAATATTGTGACACAAGATATGTGCAAAGCAGACGATTAAAGTGCTTAATGAACTCACTCCTCCCCCCTTTTTTTTCAGATAATCAATTTTTCCCACACAACAGAAAGAGATCCTGCCAAAACCTGAAAGCTACTAAATGTATCACTAAATTGACAAGGTGCAAATAACCTCAGCAAACAGTAAATAACATTCTCTGACTTGGAGCTTCAGTCTTGGAGGTGCAAAGAGCTCTCAACTCTCCTTGAAGTTAATATCTGTCAGGATGCATCGTGCCCTTTAAGAAAGTGCATCATACTGTTATCTTTGAAAGGAAACTCTAGAATCTTAATGCCCTCTTTCCCACCATCTCCTACTCTCATCTTCATACTTTCTTTCATGTTGTTCCTTCAGCTTAGAACTCCCTACTATATCCCAGGGACCAACTAGCCACACTATTTCATTTCAACTACCTCTTTAAAACCCACACTTCTTTGCTGAAGTCCATCAGTATTACCTACCAAAGGAAAAAGTGCTGTTTAAAAATAACAATTGTATCTCTAGAGCAGATGCAATTTTGGAAAGTCCAGAAGTACAAAGAAGGGAAAATATTTGGAAAGTATATAAAGGTTGACTAACCTGACCAATAGGTTCTTTTGTAGGGGTCTTTCCTCTTCTGACAGTGCTCGTGGCCAAAGTGGTGGTAGTTTCCATAACTGACGTGGACATCTCAGACTGCATTGCTGTGGCTGTTGATTCAGTTGTCAGAGAAGAAGGCACTTCACCAACAAGTCTCACATTTCCTTCTATCACGATGTTAGCATCATTTTCAGCTGCCATATTCAGAACTTTCAAGCCATTGTAGTAAAGACCAGAGAGCTGGCCTTGGAATGGATGACCCTGTTCCTTGCCTCCAATTTTTATGGTTGCTTGGCTATTGAAGATTGTAAGCTGACGCCCTGTAAAGATAATATTACATACATGCAAAAATGTTGATTGTGAACACTATACTCTAAGAGGATGATTAACAAATTTGCATGGGGTGAATAATGAGAGCAATAAACTATAAGAGAGTAATTAGACTCATAATTCATTGCTTTTTAATGAAGTGTCCATGAAATGCATAACTATTGAGAAATATTTGTAATTTCTTAATTTATGTTTTGTTTTTTGCTAAAAGGCCAATCAAGTATATTTATAAATTTGTTTAGTATTGCAAATAAGGCTGAGATTGTCTTCCCTTTTACCTAAATTTTGCCTTTGTGTGTGTGTGTCAAGAATGCAAAGTTTCTAATTCCTTAAAACTACTTTCCACCATCCACCAAGATTGTCAACATTTCAAGGATTTTCCACATCAATATAACACCTGCACTATAGCATTTTAAGTAACTGTGTGTATATAGACATATATATATATACACACACACACACACACACTGGTTCATGTGTGTGTGTGTGTGTGTGTGTGTGTGTATGCAAACCTTTTACTAAGTCAAGTGAAGTCTAATTTTAATGAGTATGTTCTAATGCAGTAATTCAGATATCTGTCATATGTCTATATATAAGTGTATAAATTGTTTCCTTTTCACATCTGAATGTTTATTTTCCTTCGACATAAACACTGAAAAGAAATGCATGGTTCATACTGAGTATCTCAGAGACAAAGAATTCAAAAAAAGATGTCTGATTGGCTTTCAGCAAGGCTATCAATTAAAATAAAAAGGTTTTAGATGTAAAAGCGGCTTCAGGAATGATACACATACCAATGGAGAAATCATGGCACAATTCCATTAAACAGAGAAATCCTCAGCAACAGTACCATTATTATTAAACAGAATATTTACTTTAGCAGATCGGTTTCTGCTCATATAAGCATGCACACAACGTTAAGTTCTGTTTTAATTAGTGTTTGTTCCAAAATCCCCTTAGAAGGTTGCAAACGTTAAAGGGACTTCATTTTGATTGGCAATTCATAGTGCCCACTATTTAAGATACCTACAGTTTAAACAAAGATTTTTTTTCAGGACCATAATGAACATATCATAACTACATATATTTTTAGTTAATAATTTAGATGCTGGAACATGTAATATAATCTATGAATGATTTATAATTTGTGGTTAATGTTTGCTATGAGTACCTTCATAGATTGAGTTAGTGGATTATATTTAACAGTCCCTTTAACCTTAAGTTAACAGGGTAAGATTATTAAACAGCTGATACTTCTAAAAATGTATAGAAATTATTATACAAGGTATGCAAATATTACTCTCTACATTTTACTGTTTTAAATTTGTTTTTAATTTAGTTTTACTGAAAATTTATTTTTATGTTTATTAGTGTTACAATGAAGTACTACTTGGTTATGTTCAAATTATTTTTTTATTTGAAGTTTTAATCAATGTTTTTTACCTTTGTCGAGTAGCCATTCATCAACTACTCGACCAAGTCGATATGGAATTCGCTGTCTAGCAATCGCCAGGCGCTCGTTATCATTGTTTCCTTTAAAGTTTAAAGAGACATTTCATTGGTTAAAATCTGTAAGGTCAAAGGTTAAAAGTTAATACTTAAAGCTTGAGCTATACAGTTGCCACATGATTTTTTGAAATTTGGAATTTTAAAAAGTGGTACCTAGAACATTTCATGTTTCAGACTTTTCATTCATTCATTTATTTTATTTTAGCAAACAAAATTATTCCTATGTTAATTGAAAATTAGAAATCTTCATTTGAGCTAGGTTATTAAACTTATGTTATAGACAGACCCAAAAAACAAATTTATACATCATATAATGGCTTTACAAAAAATGATCATTGACTTCAGGGTTTTGTCTTTTTTGATGTTTCTTATTAACTAGTTAAACATGTTCAGGTGAAACAGATTTATTTTTCAAAAGACATCCAACCTCTTACTCCAGGTTAGTCATTTAAAGAAGAAGAACACAAGCCTTAACCAACATCTATGGTACACTTACATCTGCTGTATAGAAATATACCTGACAAAGCTTATTTTCTATTAAAAAAATACATTCTCATTCATTTGATTTAAATAAATTCCAGAAGTTCAAATATGTGACAGAGAACAAATCAGATTATCCATTATTTTTACATTTTAACAGAGCCCAGTGATAACATATTTTACTAAGGAACATTAAGGCTTTGACAAAAGTGACTTCAGTGGTTGTCTATAATAATCCTGTATCCAAAATGCGAGGTGTTTAAAACTTTAGCCGTATTTAGCAGGGGTTCATAAGCTAAGAGCTAGCCAGAAGGAGAGACTGTGAAGTATAAACTTCTCTAACTTGCAAACCTTTCCTGTCCCCATTCTGCAGAGAATTCCCTTTGTTTTCAGTGAGAGCTCTGCCGTAGAGCTCTGCAGCAGACTATGGCTCCACATGATTAGAAATATAGCAGCCTGCTACAGATAATTTGAGGATTGCCTCGAATATTTATTTGTAATAATTGATCTGTATGCTTTCATTATATAAGGTATATCAGAAACATTTGATCAATTTCTATACTTTTTTACAAAAATTTTACTAGGCAAATGGTGAAAACAAATACTTTCTTCAATATAACGTGCTTTTTGTTTAGATTGACAATACCTTTGTCTCACATGCATTGATAGAAACACATCAGTTTAAGTACCTGAGAAGTGAGCAAATCCAAAAGACTGAAAGACAGTCATTCCTAACTGGGGTCATGTTCCATACTTGTACTTATTGATTTATATGTGCAAACTCCTATTGACTTCAGCAGGAGAAGGATTAAGCCCTGTGTTTGAAATGGTAGATATATAAAGCACTAATCTCCAAGGTGTGCAACGCCTTGAATTGAAACTCAGTACCTGGCAGGATCTTACTGCAAATTATCAATGAAAAATATTATCCAAATTGAAGCACCCAGTCCCTTAACCTTTACTCAGGTAAGCAATATCTATGAAATCACCAGCAACATTCATAAAGTGAAGGATTGGATTTTACTGTAGCCCTGGAAACAAAATCAGTTTCCATTCCAACAAGTAATTTTGGTTTATTTATTCTGTTCTTCTGTAAAACAGGCTATGACTTACCATGCTTCCTGTCTGCTTTGTACAGTTTAACATAGTTATCATTCAGTGTGGCTGAATGTACAGCATCATGTTTTAGAAATTACCCCCTTCTTTACTTTCTCTTCATTATGCCATGTAAACTTCTATACACACTCTGATATTTGAAGAAAACACACCCACATAGCATTCTCCCCTGACTTCAAATACCTTTTGTACAAAACACTTCTGTTTTTTTCTTTTAAAATGTTTCCAAAGAAAGGATGCTATAGAGCAAAAGATTGCATATTACTTTCATAACTTATCTTCATGCTGTTGTGGACATTCAAAAAGTAGAATTTTTTCCTGATTGTATGCCGTGACCTTTTAAAATTCCAGCTCTTTATCCTGGGCCTGAAGCTGCATTCTTTGTATACCCCAAACTCCCCATGACTTCAATGGAAGTTGGAGATGTTCAAGGAATATCTGATGAAGCCTCATGTGAGCAACACGTGGAAAAAGGCATGTGGATTAATTTCTTCTGTCTGTCTGTCTGTTTTTCTGCATCTCCATTTTTTTCATCTTTCGTAGTAATGGCGTATTGATTGATGTTCTCTCATATATCTGACCTAGATGGATTTCTTTAATCCTTGCTTATGTTTGGCATTTTTGAATGCTGCTTACATGGCTTTCATAGATGCCTTATCAATTTAGTAACTAAATCAGTGAAATTATATCCTATTTCCATGAATTTTCCCTTGCTTCCACACTTAAAACCTCCCACAGTTTATACATTTAAAAATATTCTATCAAATCACTTGTAATAAAGGTTAGATTGTTCAAAATTGAGGGTTATGAACATCAGGGCCGGCTCTGGCTTTTTTGCCGCCCCAGGCAAAAAAGCCTCCTGCCGCCCCCCCGCAGGGGAGGGCGGCGAGCCCCGCCGGGGAGAGCGGAGCCCCGGCGGCCAGAGCGCCGGGGGGAGGGCGGCGAACCCCGCTGGGGCTCTGCTCTCCCCGGGGGCCAAAGCGCCTGGGGGAGGGCGGCGAGCCCCCTGGGGCTCCGCTCTCCCCGGCGGCCAGAGGCTGCGCCGGGGGGAGGGTGGAGAGCCCCGCCGGGGCTCCACTCTCCCCGATGGCCAGAGGCAGCGCCGGGGGGAGGAAGGCGAGCCCGGCCGGGGCTCCGCTCTCGTGCCGAAGCGCCGTGCCGCCCCCCTCCAGGTGCCACCCCAAGCACCAGCTTGGTGGGCTGGTGCCTGGAGCCGGCCCTGATGAACACTTAAGACCAGATTCATCTCCTATAAAGTCAAATCAAAGACTATCATGGAAGTTGGATTGGTCTTTACTCATCAAACAGTCTCATTCATTTCCATGGGACACTTTATGTGAGTAAATGTTCCCCAATGTGAGTAATAGACTTAATGAAGAAACGTTTGGAATTTTATAATATGGGCAGACATATACTGGATATCATTTAATGGAAGGTGGATACCAATTCATTTATTTTTAACTTGCTTTCTAAAAGCTTATTTCGTTTTAAAATCTTTGCAGTATACAGTGGGTGAAATACTGTATCCTATTATCATGTTGTATGATCTACAAATTATGCTGTAACCTATCTGCAGCAGCCATGCACCCTGGGAGCTAAATACAAATGAAAAGCAGGGTAATAACCATTTGCTTTGTAAAGGTCAAATATAAAAATGATTGCTGATTACTTTAACTCATCTTTCAAAAGAGTAAAAGTGCATAGTCAAATGTATTTTGATTTGGCACTACTAGATTAGTTTAAGGTTTCTTAGCAGATAATACAAAACGAAGGGCTAAGGGGGAAATGGTATGGAATTTATCAAACTTTAGTTTAATGGAGAGTGCATAGGTTTAGAGCTGAAATAATTAATACACATATTGGTGACTCAAATAGTAAATATAAAAAAATGATACCATGAAATCAATCAAGACAGTTACAAATGATGAAATGAAAACAATGTAAAAACAAAATAAAAATCAGGCATAAAAATAGTGATGGATACACATCTGTTTATCAAATGTCTCTTGCTGAACAGTTAGGGTCAGAGTCTGAGCTGGGATAAATCCCCCTGAACTAAACAATGCTATACAAATTTAACCATCTGAGAGGAAACATGTTACAGTCTGACACATTGTTTTCCCCAGTTGCATTAATCTAAAAAATTTCAGACACATTTGTTTGTAGTTTTGTCTACTGGTGTACTGAACAACATTGAATTTAATCACCAAGAAAATTCCCAAATAAAGTTATTTGCATGCTATTATAGTCTAAATAGAATTCTGGCTTTGAGTTTTTATACCTGTGAGCCTTCATAAGCATTAAGAAATGCTTGTCAACAGTAATTCACTGGGAATAATTTATGTGCATAAACTTTAATTTTAGATGGGTCTTTGAATATCTAGCACAAAATTTCTTGCTGATATAGGTGAGACTTCTTTGATAAAAATAGGGGATAAAAATGACCACTCAAAGTTTGTATTGTGACATTGTCCAGTCTGATTGAATTCTAGATGGCTTAATTCTTCTACCAAATACACAATATTTTGTCACACTGTAGTGTATTAATTCTATATGAACAGGTAGACTTCAAGGGAATAACAGTAATTTCAAAGAATCAAGGTAAGCAAAGAGGAGCAACAAAGGTCAAAACTTTCCATCATATCTAAATCTTGTGGTGAGATTGAGAAGAAGCAATCCAAAAATCTTAATCATACCTTTGCATCTATAGGTCAGTGGGGACAGGCTGACTATGTGAACTTCACTAATGTGTATTTTATCTCCTCCCGATTTATTATATTTTCAGTGCTGAAGTGTAATTCTATTTTGTTCTCTGAAATAAAGGTGTCAGTTATTGATGTGAAATAGCAGCATCCTTGAAAGAGAATAAGTAAGAAGGTTGAAAATTGAGAGTCTGTGAAGAACAACTTAAAGGGTAGAGAATATTTTGTTTCTTTGTAACAGCCCTTTACTTGTCAGACAAATTCACCCTATTAATTACAGTGAGCTACTAGGCAAATAAATAAAATGGGATTATAAAGAGAACTATGAACCCTATCATTGTTTTTGGAAAAACAAAATCCTTGATTTGCTTGCTAAGGGCCTGTGTTTTATGGCAAAGCTCATCCTGACATCAGTGGGATGATTGGGAGAATAAGGGCTGAGACTGATATTGTGTGTTCAGCTAACACAAAAGGGAAAATCTGACAGAAAAAAGCTGAGGGGCATGAGAAAGGGGTAATGGTGGCTCCATGGCAGTCTCCTGAAAAAGCCTCTCAGCCCCCAATTTATGAGATGCTCAATACAGTCACAGGGCTAGCCTACGGGATAGGGGCCATGCTCTAGTGATGGCCACTGATAGCTTGTGCTAAAGTTATCCTGATTAATAAAATCTGGGTTAGATTTTCAAAGGTGTTTAAATCCAGCTACTAATTTTGCCATCATGGCTA